GAAACCTGCATTTTTGGAATGCCACCAGAAAAGGTTGTGATTGGTTGAGCGGGTCGTGGATGGGGGAGGGGCGTAGTTGACACGAGGATCTGTTTTGCTTATTGAGTGGTGAAAGACGGACAGGGAGTGGGTGGAGACGGCTGACGTTGATGGATGAATAACAGACAGATGAAACAAAAAGAGACTTTGAGCAAAAACATTGCACCGTCCTGCTTCAGTTGGCTCAGCGTACCTCTCCTGTGCCACCACCCCTATGGAGTCACGAAACCTTTACAGACACATATATTGAATATCTCTCTCTGACAAGTAAAACATTCCCATGTGTGACACCAGCCATAGTGTGACGTACATGACTTAGTCAATGTGTTGCTCTTTCAACTACAAATCTCCTCAAAGGACTCACTCCTCTCCTCTGTGTGAAAACAATGGAGGTAAAGCTCCACAGTGGCTGCTTCACCTCTCCCTCTGTACCCAGGACTTGGCCCCTGCTCTGGGCCAGCCTGTCCACTCTAAGCCCCTATATTAAGCAAGGTCTGATGCTGATGAATGGACCTAAGCTCAGCATCTGGTCAAACCAATAATCCAGGCTTGGACGAGCCGATTAGGTGGTCTCCACATTCCGGTTCAGTCATCTGTGATGAAGTCCCTTAACTGGTATGTGGAAAAAAACTAAAATCTGAAAGCAGCATAATCGTGTTTCTGTACCAAGAATAATGTTGTTGGCTTCTGATGATTGATAACTGGGTTGTTTACTTCACTTTTTTGTTCAAATATAGAAACAAATTTTGGATCAGGAATTCTGCAAAATCCACAACATGTGTCTTTTTCTATAATATATTGTGAATATTGTGGGTTTCATGGATTCTTGTGTATTGTATTTAGCTGTGACGGAGATCAGAGAGGAAAACGTCCTCTGTGCTGTGGTCGGTCTTTTTGCACTGCTGTTGTTTTTTGATGGTCCGTGTGATTTCCAACATGGCATCAGCCTATAGAAGTTAACATGCACAGGATCACTCCTTGCTGACTGTCAATGCTGACAACACTCCGACGCTGACTTGGCAATTGTCCGACCTTTGATCCAAATCACGGCCTCTTCGCTTCTGAGGTCCAGCATTCCACAGGGCGATAGAGAGCAGAGACTAGAGGGTGATGGATGGATGAAAGAGACGGGGGCAGAGGTGGAGAAGAAAGCAAGACGCTGGCCGGCGAGATTAAAGAAGAGAGATTAGACTCCTGCTCCTGAAGAGGCTTCAATAAATCAGGAATTCCTTTCCAGGAGCAGAGAGAAAGAGTTGCCGGAACATTCTGTAATCTCATTTGACCAAAAAGTGTTCTCTCTCTCTCTCTCTCCATTCCTTGCTCTCTCTCTCTTTCCTGTTCGGGCACCATGTGACCAGCACTATCTCTGCCGTTCGTTATTGTATTCATTATCTGCCTTATCACAACTGGAACACACTCCCAGATTCCTCTGGAGTCTACAGAGGCAACACACACACACGCACGTACCTACTCCCACATAAACAATCACACATTTAAATATTTGCGGCTGAGACAGACGCACTCCTCTCTGCATTTCTGCCATACTTTCATAAATCATTTTCGACTACAGAAGACGGCAGCTCCTCCATGCTGATGCTTCTGCAGAGGCTCCGAGCGTCACTGTCGTTAAGGAAGAGCATCCAAGGAGGAACGACAGGAATAAATCAACAACAGTACACACACACACACACACACAGAGTGAAACAGTGTGTGAGATGGATTTGTCAGAGGACACACACATCGAGGCAGAAAACTAAAATGGGGAGAGGATTGTCCGTGTGCCTGAGTGAGGGTGGCGATGATTTGACTTTGTTAGGGAAACCTTTTCACACCGAGACCCTGCAGCTTTCTTTGAACTGCGTTTGCGTACACTTCATTAGGCTGCTGATGTGGAACGTTTCTATGCCCAGGCGTTAGAGGGGGAACAAAAGGCAGCGGGGATAATTAAAAGTATTTGCCATTCATAAAAGGTGCCACCTCCTCCAGTGCATATTCAGCCACTGCTCCCTCTGCTAAGTGAGGTATTCCATCAGCGTGCAGACGTCAGGAACACAGAGCCTGTATAAAACCCTGGATGGCCTGAGAAAGAAACTGTAGCACTCAGACAGAAACTTCAAAAGCCTTTCCCGACTCAAGGCCTTTGACCCACGCAACCCCTCCTACACCTATTCATGCCCTCCCAAACCTTCCTCTTAAAGGGGCTGGGAAGTGAAGAGCAGGAGGGCATAATTACCCCCCTCCAGGGCAACTTTAATACCCTTTTTTGTGTTTTAATTGTACCCCCCTCCGACCCTCTTCTGATGAACACATTGGGACCATACCACAGCCAGTTTGTATTCTGGCTCAGAGGAGGGGCCGGGGGTGGAGGGGGGGGGTGTTTGTTGAGTGATGATAACTCTGTCAAGTCGGAGCGGACGACGACATTTGTTTAATGGTGTTGTCTATTCACCTCGAATTGGAAGTGGCAGGGGGTAAAAACACTTTAGTGCCAATTTGGTAAACAAAGCGTGGCAGGCGAAATGCAGATAAGCACTGAGGTGTCTAGACCACAGTGAAATGATCATCATCATCACTCTGTAGCATCGCAAACGTCCACAGGAGCACTGTATTATCAGGGCCCAGGTTTCATCAGTCCAGTAAAAAGGTGCTCCTTTTCAAACGGCAGTGTGTAACTGGTGTAATTGTGTTGCGGACTAATCTGGTCATCAGTATTGAGGGAATGCATTCAGGCGGCGAGGGGTAACAGGAAGCGGGAGGAACCCAGAGGGGGAACAGGAGTCAGGGCCCACGGTTTGGAGCCAACATGTCTGTCCTTTTACCAGCAGGTACCGGGGAGACCCCTGGCAACAAACAACAACAGCAGCTAACAAGGGACAAGGGCCTGAGCACTTTGATCGTTAGTCACACATATGGAGCTTGTCACTGGCGGTTGCATTTGGGCAGGTTTTATGAGGAAACACAGGCCGGTTTGAAAAAGAATGGCCTTCAGTGCTCAGACCTCTTTTTTTTTCTTGCTAAAGGCCCCCAGGTTTGGACCACAAAAAATGTCCTGTTTGAGATCTGCAGAGCTGATTAAATAGCCATCAGTAACCCAACTCACCGGCTGGTCGTCTCCTCTTTGAGCTGCTGACAACCTACTGAACCGTGCCTGGATTCATTGCAAAAGCAACAGAACCTTATATTAGACACACATTCTCCTCCTGTGTTGTGAAAATATTTGAGTCTGTCAGAATTCTTCTTTCTCCAGGAGCCGCCCCCACACTCCCCCCCCGGTGATCCCAAACAGTAGGAGATAGTAAGTGATAGGCATCACATGGGAGCTCCGTGCCGTGGGAGGAGGAGGAGGAGGAGGAGGAGGAGGAGGAGGAGGAGGTGTAAATGCATAGTAGCTGCTGCGTTAGTCTGCTGATAGTCAGGGATTACTGGTTGTTGCTGGTGACCAATAAGCATTCAGGACCACTGATGGTCAGCTTTTGCTCGGAGTGGAGCGTAGGATGTGACCTTCACCTTAGCAGTTACACAGTCAGTCAGCAGGAGACGACGCTGAAATCCAGTTAGTGATGATTCTCCGGAGACAAAGTGTCTGAAATTAGGCCGAAGGAGTTATGAGCAGTTGGGCCACGGTCCATTTAACCTGCCTGAAGTCTAGGTGGTGTGGATGGCAAAATGTTTTCTGTCTGCGCTCTTTGACTCGGGTCAAGAGGCTAGGGAGGGTGTCTGGTTTACTTAAAGACCATCGTAAAGAGGGCGGGGAGGGTAGAGGAGAGAGAGGAGGGAGCAGGGAGGGACGGAGGAGAGGCAGACTGACTGTCTCTCTGGATTTGTAATGAGAGGGAGTTTAGAAGGAGTCGGTCGTAGGCTGTCACTAGACTCGCGTTACATTTGTCTGCATTGGTCCTTTACCCTAATGAATGGGTTAACACATACAGTACAGGCCTTATTTTTAACCTCGTTTGTTGCTCTTACAACAATGCCAGTTAAGGGCAGACATTTCTGGCCCTGTTTAAATAGTTCTATTGCAGACCGTGGCACATATAAAAAAGAACCCTGGGATTTTGATGAGTGAGAAACTCTAACTTGGCGGTGGACGGTACTTCACATATACTTACTACTACTACGACATCTGTACTTTGTGGAGTTTCCTTTACTCAACCTTTAGAGGCTTTCTAAAAAAAAATCCTCTGACCAGCTTCTAGCTCTTTTTCTTTTAACAAAATAAAACATTCTTTATGATGACTTACTAATATAAAGATGGACGTTAGAATCTTATCACCTAACCTAAACCTAAGCAGATGTCAGGATTTAAATGACTAGTGCGCCGATAAGGAAATGTTATCATGGATCTGGCTGCATTACGCCACTTCTGGGCGGTGGTGAAAACACTCACATTGGAATGTCAGGGGAGAGAAGATAAATGTGTGTTTCTGATTTCTCCTGAAGAGAGAAAAAAAAAATGTCATTAAGCATTCTGAATCCTCCCCTCTGCTCTGTCCATCTCTCACCCTCTCAGTGTGTTTGCATGAGTAGTCCCGCAGATGTCGATTCTCATCTGCCGTCTTGACGGGGCTAACTGACTGCTAATGTTTCTCTGTAAACATCATTCAAGTCCTGCGGGATGTGAGATCAATGTGCTCCCCCTGCCTACTCTCAGAGCAGCCGCCGCCGCAGCCACACTCACACTGGTCTCTCTCTCATCCATATTTATGCTCATGTTCTCCCCTCCTCACCCCTTTCCTTATTGCTTCTCCCCTCTTCATTCCTCACACACGTGTCCTCAGACTCTCTCACTCTTCCCCCGATCTCCGAGTCTTTCCTGTGATTTCCCTCTTGTACGCTGACGTGTGGCCGATCAATATATAATCACAGGTTTTTGAGGCTTATATTTATTACCGCTTCAACTGCTATAACCTCACTCATCAGTCTCCTGGTAGAGTTTTAACCATTCACTGCTCCCCCTGCAGGTTCCTTTGGGACAACTACGCTGTGGAGGTGAAGCTCAACGACTACCTGGACATCGTCTGCCCCCATTACCCCGAGGGCGAGGTGCCACTGCTGGACGCGGAGCGGTACGTGCTCTACATGGTGGAGCGAGAGGACTACGACGCCTGCAAACCCGAGTCGTATGACCAGATGAGATGGGAGTGCGGACATCCGTTCGCTCCTCACGCCCCTGAGAAGTTCTCTGAGAAGTTCCAGCGTTTTACTCCGTTTACTCTGGGAAAGGAATTCCGCCAAGGAGAAAGCTACTATTATATCTGTGAGTGTCACGCTACTCTTCCCTCAGCCTCTGTGTCTGCGTCCAAAAAAATCAAGCCAATCCATTCAGTTGTTACCATGAGGTTTTATAAATAAAAACATGGCAACGTAGCCTCATGGCAACACGAGACTTGAAAGAAACATCAAATCATCACTGGAGATGAAATTTCATCAGACCAAATATAAAGTCACAGAGCACAACAAATGTGGGCGGAGGTCGGGGTGTTAAACCAATATGTTTTAAAGAAAACTCTGGATAATAAACAGAGAATTTTTTTAAGCAAAAATGAACAGTAAGAATTTCAGGAAGATTTTTAGTTTTCATTTAGCGCCTAAACACTGACCTGTTCCTTTGTTGGCTAACAAAGTATTTTGAGTAACTTTTATTTTTTAATGCTCACATTTGCCTTTTAGTCATTAGGCTAGTAGTTAAACTCTTTTTTTAGTTTTTTTTTTACTATATTTTTGGGCAATATTTAGCCATTTATTTGTTATTTCTTTTTGCTACATTTGTTGTCGGCTAACATTTATTTACTTTGACAAAACATCTTTCTCTATGTTTTGTATGAATATTTTTGTTGAACTCTGTGAATCTATACATTATTAGCTGTTAAGTGTTTAATTAGCGGCCTTGATGGATTCTCCCAGCATGAATGAAAGTGTTTGCATCAATGAAATTATGTTTTGTATGAATATTTTTGTTGAAATCTGTGGATCTATACGTATAAGTGTTTAATTAGCGACCTTAATTTATCAACCAAATCTGTCCAAGGGTTAGGGTTTTATATCTAGTGAACCAACCTTGACGAGGTTGTGTTTTTGCGTCATATCTCCAGGTTCAGTTTGGCATTAACTGCGGTGTTGGCTCAGTTTTGTCGAGGAGATGAAATACTTCTCCTGGTACAGAGTAGGCCGTGCTGTCACTCTGACCATGAGTGTAATTAGCTGAACTGCAGGACAGGATACACTTTGCCTGGTCACAGATGGCCTCCTGAAGCTCCGTCTCCTGCCAAGTGTTCCTGTCCATGTGCACATGCGTGAAGGTGGACTAGAGGCCAAGGAAGGAACAGTGGACAAGTTAGGATGCTAACTCTTGTCTTGTTTGTTCCTCTCCCCCACAGCCAAGCCTTTGCACCACCATGGAAAAGAGTGCCTGAAGTTAAGGGTGGACGTCGTAGCTGCTGATGGTAATCCCCACCACCCACCTGGCTTTAAGGACCCTCTCAGTCATGTCAGGCTATTGCTAACGACTCAAGCAGATTAATTGATGACCTTTTTTCTTTTCTTCCAGGCTCTCAGGAGGCCCGAGTGGCTAAAGGAGGCACAGGTGGGGTAGGAGCCGGGGGTGGGGTTCACAACCCCTCCAACAGATTACCTGCAGGTATGTTGACCCTCCCCGCCTCCTTTCTAATTATACCGTAGCTTCTTTTAAGCGACTGTGTCCCATTCAGAAAGGTAGTAACGTGTTTCTTTTTATCTCCCGTCTTGAAGCAGACGACCCCGTGGTAATCCTGCCAGATGTCCAGAAGAGCGTACGGACCAGCTCCGCAGCAGCTGCAGCTTCATCCCTCTGGATCATTTCACTGCTAGTCCCACTTACATTACTGCTGCTGTTGCACTGAGGGCACATGAGAGGACTGCCGTTGGCAGGCTGTTTCTGGTTTCTTCAGGGACTAGAATGAAGAAGACAGTTGGTCCGTGGGGTTGGAACCACTGACTTAAAAAGACCGGTGCTGGCCACACAGGGAGGACTTTGGAGGCTTGCAAAGCACAGATGGACTCGCCTGCACAAAATGTGTGGAGCGACTCTTGAACATTTGAGATGGAGTGTGTCGACTTTGTCTCTTTTTTTTTTTTTTTTACGAAGTGACAGTATTCCCCCCCTCCGTTTCTCCCCTTTGAAAAAGACCACGCTGCCCCTTGATGTGTGTGTCTGTGGTTGATAAGCCTGCCAGAAAATATGAAGAAGAACAATCCAGAACAGAGGCACAAACTTCCCCCGAGATGATTTGACATCCACACAGATCCATGGACGTCGAGTGGGAAAGTACATTTTGAGCCAAAGACCAGTCGCCTCTCCTGCTCCTGCTCTTGTTTTTCCCACCCCAGAATATTGCGTACTGTTTGTCGTCTCGTTGTCGTGATGGTATGGAGCTGCGTCGGTGTCCTGCGTGATTACTTTGTTTAAATGTAGCATTGACAACACACGGGGGGGGGCAGTCTTCACCACCGCCGTCGCTTTGTAATCTCGACTTTGTGCTTATTTACTGTAGCACTGAAACTGCACAGGTCACACCGTGGACCGTATGTAAGAAATGGAAGTGGCCGGTTGTCAAAGTGTGGCTGCAGAGTGCCAGAGAATGACTGGATGAGTTTTGAGAGTAACTTTAATGAATTTGAGTCCAAGATTGATTAATAATCCTCTCTGAACTTTTCACTGGAGTTTAGCATCAACATTTTACTTTCAGACATTTTTCAATTTCACACAGTCGTCAGTTTTTTCAGTCCCAATCCCATTTAGTGGGAAAAGGAAGGTAGAGGTTACAGATGATTGTCTTCAGTTGCCGGCTGCTGCTGGACACTCTGTTGGTCAGTAAGGTGTCCATCAGCTGCTGCTCTTTACTTGATCTTCTGTTTACCTCTGAATGGGATCATAACTGACTGGATTCACCACATATTTGACTCAAACCCACCCACAGATCAGAAAGACCGTACGATTACAAACACTCCACTGATAAAGACTTACTTCCATAACCACCTGAGCTCTTACAGTGGCACCACGTAGAATCATATCAGGGTGAAAATGAATTCCATTTTATTTTGCTTTTTTTTTTCATTTTTAACCCTGAATTGAAATATTCCAAAAATATTCAATGTGGCCAAATTGAATACGTTGCGTGGTGATGACCAGAACAGAACAGAACAACTGTCCTTTAGACCGTCTCCACTCGACGTCCCGTCTGTCTGGATCCATTTCTTACATGCAGTCTGTGGTAAAAACACACTAACACACACTTGACATCAGTGTTACACACACACACAACATATTACATTGTTAATGTTACTTGTACATTCTGTGAAGATAATTTATAACATTTGCAGCTGTTTTTACTGTATATACATAGAGCTTTTGAAAGGAAATGTTTACTGTTGGCAGAGAGAGAGAGGCTTTGTCTCTCTCCCCCACTCTCTCTCTCTCTCTAGTATGGTGTGAAAGGAACATATATGTGTGTTGATTGTGTGGAAGCGATCGATTGATTGCTGGTGTGATGAGACAAATGTTTTTCTGCCAAAAGCGAACACTGAGCTGTTGTGCGTCTCCCAGAGCGAGGCTGGACTCCTCTCTCTGTCGGATCCTGCCGCCGTATTGGTTAACACTGCCTGACACCGCGATGCTCCTCAAATCTTTTCTTTGTCTTCGCTGCACGACTGGACCCAGTGTTTATCACGCTGCTGTCATTCACGTCTCCAACCGCAGGCAGAAAACAAACAGGCAACTACGTTTGAAAAAAAAAAAAAAAGAAGCACAAACGAATCGAGTATGACATCGTAATCTTTTAGATTTTGGAATGGTTATTAAATTAGTTTTATTCACCAGTTCACATCAGACAAGACAAGACGTCATAGTGAGTTGCTGAGCACATCTTCACCTGACAGACTGGCTCGATCCATGAAGCACAGCAGTGTATGACTACCATTGAAGTCAGTCTTTTTTTATTTTAATCCAAACTCCCTTTTTACCTTCTTTTGTACATGTGTAAGTAAAGAAAAGGCTGTATATTATGTACATATATAAATATATAGATGATTATATTAAGAAAAAAAACCTTGTTTGATAAATATTCTAAATGTGAACATTTCATGTGAAATAAAAAAAAAAGTGATATTTTTGGAAACCCACATCAGCTCTCCTACGGTTCATTTTAAACAACACTTCAGGTCATTTTCTGTTTTTTGTTGTTTGTTTTGTTTTTTTTAGCAAAGCAAGTTTTCAAGGTGGTTTCCCTGCTTCTGCGGCCTGTCCTGAAGTAATTTGTCTGAAGGCCTATTGATCTGTTGTGTCAGAGGGGTTGGACCAGATTCAAACAACCTCTCCGGCATCAACAAAATAAAGTCCAGCTTTAAGTGTGTTCCTGCCGTGAGTGATGACTCGGAGCCATCAGTCGATATCTCTATTCCTCCCTCACCACGCTGTTTATTCGCTCATATCTCGGGGTCGTGATGCTGGCTGTGATGTTGCAAGGTCATTATTTTATTATTATTATTATTTTATTTTGCATAATACTAAAACTTCAATGTTGAGAGTATAATAAAGTCTAGAATGTTTTTATTGACCTTCGCCCTCACCACCTTGGGGAGTCAGACGGTGACTTCGGTGGTTGTTGCTGGGTGAATTTGAATTATTTTGGTGGTCCTCGTGCAGCTCCTGTCATAGTTAAGGCTACAGTTAATGAATATAAAGACATTTCTATTAAACTGGTAATAGAATGACCTAAAACTCCATAGTTCTGAACCAACGTTTAACTGTCAAGCATTTAAGTTGTTTAACCTTTTTTTCCACTGCCTCCAACAGGAACTTGTCCTTAAAGTAGACAAACAGTACAGATAATGTCTGTTAAAAACATGAATATGATTGAGGTCTTAAATCAAACCAAGGTCAGGCCTGACATGAGACGGTGAGGCCACAGAGCAGAGATAAAGGAGGAAGCAGGAGATCTGTGTGTTATTTTAAACACAGGTGTGGTGCCTCTGTCTTTTATCTCACCCTCCTGGAAAGCCTCCACGTCGACCTACAACACCCGTCCCGGCTCAGACACAGATCTCTCTCCTTCGACTGGGCTCATCTGCTGGTTGCATGACAAGCCATTGTTCTGATCTGCGCTCGCCTCGTCTCCCCCTTCCCAGGGGAGCTTTACGGCCGTGACAGTTGAAACAGCTGTAGCACCAAAAACTGGTGCCGCGGCCTCACAACTGCCCAATGTTTTCAAAAGGCCGGGTCATAAATTAGGAGGGGCAGACAGGCCCAGTAACCACCTGACCGTAAAGAGAGGCTCCGCTGAGCAGCGGCTCGTCAGCGAAACACAATTCTTTTTATTTACTCACTGCCTGAGACCGCCATCTCGGGTGAATGTGTTAGGCCGGTGTGAAGCCTTTTAACGCAGTAATAAATGTAAGGAGCAGTGAGGAGGTGAAGGGAGCAAACACAGAAACCCAGAACATCCTGTGGACGGAGCTGCAGGAGATTAACCACGTTTACGCAGAATGTTCAGGACTTCATAAAGTCGTGACCGTGAAAGTTAGATGATGGTTGTCCAGGATGAACTTTGACCTCTGACACACTGTGATGAAATAACTTTTTATATTTTATTGGATTACATTTGTTTTACCTTATTATTAATATATAAAATCTGACTTTTTTTCTACGTTTTACCTTATTATTAATATATAAAATCCAACTTTTTTTTCTACGTTTTTTTTTACCTACTTTTCAGGGGCCATAAGTGATTCCAGCAGGTTTGGACACAGACAGCTGGTCTGTGTCTGTGTCTGTGTCTCTGCGAAATGTCGGGCATCGCTATCAGACGAGTCCCTGTCTGCCTTCCTGCCGGCGTTCCTCCTCAGCAGAATGATGTGCCTGACAGGACCTCTGTGAAGTTACCTCATGTTATTGTAGCTATTTGTGGCGTTCATGGGCCTTCGTGCTGTGCTAGAAAAGGAACCCAGTGTCCTGTAAGTGTCACAGCAGCTGTTTATGAGCCGAGGGAGAACAATAGGGCGGGCGCAGAGTGACTTTGTAGCCTCGTTCATCATTTTTATACCAGGCTGATGCTGTGACGCGGTGGGATTAGATGTCGCTCTAATATACAGCATGTTTAGAAGCCCCTTCAATCCCCTCAGTGCATGTAGCAGCTTCAGATGACGGCGGGGTCAGTGAGGGCAAACACCTAACTGGTATATGATAAGTGAAAGCCTCCGGGGCGATCGCTGGTCGTCTGCCATCGGCAGCGGTCAGGGTGTGGTCTTCTTTTCCTGAAACAGTCCTGTCACACACTCTCTCAGCAGTTGCCAGGCCTATTTGTCCTGTTCCAGCTCATGCTTTGGTTTCCTGTCCATGTCACTTAGTCACTCCGAGCCTATTTCACCCGCTCTCACTCGTCGCACACGTTTCTTCATTCAGCCGTCCTAATGTACTTCCACAGTTTCTGTCTGGACTTCAGGCTCATCCCACTCTCTCCTCACCTCTCCAGGGTATCATTCACCGTTTCTTCCTGCCCTGGGCCCCTGCCAACCTCTCCCTCTCTTCCTCTCTCCTTCTTTCTCTCCCTTTCTCTCTCTGTCCGTCTCTAGATGGGTTTGAGGTTTTACTGTGAAATGTGTGGGTGGGAAAAAGTCTTTTCTGCGCAGAAAAAATGATAACCTATCATTTTATAGTCTTGGTTCTCAGCCTGTCTCGATGCATTTGCTCTCAGTGGTGTTACTTAGTGTCTCTTGAAAGGTTTTTCTTTTATAGTGTCTCAAGGTCTGAGTGGGGCCATGTTGGTCTGCCCTGCTCACTGTCTCCATCCTCGACAGGTTTCCTTCTGTTTGGACGAGGCGTCTCACCTTGACACGCCATGAGAAAATGGCAAAGAACATTGTGTGAATGTTTATCAACTTCCTCAGCCTGTCGTAGCATCCGAACCCTCACTGCTGCTGGGGTAAGGCTGAGGAAATATGAAAACTTCCAAACTTAAAATGAACAGCAGCAGGATATGTAGCTATATTAGCATTGACTTTTGGACAAATTGTCCCTAAAACTTCTTAAACTGCTCTTAAAGTCACATGATGCATCTTTAATGCCCCGTAAAAGTAAAAATGTCCAGCTTGGCCTCTGTAAAAACAACTCCCATGTGTTGTATTAGCTAAAAAAAACTACTTTAAACGTTAAGCTTTTCAGCTTAGGAAATAACAGTAAAGCTAAATTAGCCAAAATAGGTAAAACCAAGTACAAAGACAACTTAGCATTTGTCAAAAGAAAAAACTGCCCTGAAAAACAGTTCAACACTTAATCATAAACAGGCATAATAAATAGATAACTAGAAATTTACATTCCATACATTTGGGCTTGACTTCTCTTCGGCCGTGTTATTTTTTTCAATAGCGCAGCATGGCTAATTCGGCCTGACAACGCAGTGACGGTGCCAGCAGGATTAGCTGGAACGCGAGTCGACTTTTGCCAAAGTGTAGCATGATGTCATCTGGCATGATGCTATGTTGGCAAACACATGCGTGAAAATAAGAACCTGATTAACCTGCCGCAGTGGCTCCTTCACTGTCTCGTTATTTTTGATTTACTGAAGCTGAACCTTTGCATCGTGGCGTTGTCCAACCATTAGTGTCCCTTATTTCTGTTATTTATAACGGTCTTCCATGTTTGCTATACATGTGATGCAATCTAGCATCATAAAGCGCTTAAGAGAGAACCACTTCCTGTCCAACTACACAGACATTAAAAAACCTCTACTCTCAGAGACGCATAACTTTAAACCAAAAACAGGATAATCAGCTTAACTCACCGCCATCATCTGGCAGGAAAAACACTCCGAGGCCTGTGAGCGCTGCTGCTAAAATGATGCTCCCTAATAAGAGGAGATGACAACAGTGAATCTTTAAGGAGACCATTGAGATGCAGACCTGGCGCTCTGCAGCTATTCTCATCAGAGGAGCAAAACTCTCACCTCTGAGCCGCGGGAGAATACATGGTGAAATATAACACTCTGTGTCATTAATATGGATTCTTCCCACTGTTTCAGGGTAACTGAGGTCTGCATCAGCTGCATTTCCATTTATCAAAACTGTCACACACACCGACTGGACGGGGACTTCAGTGACCTCACACTGGCTCTGAGGGACATGTTTCTGTGGGGCTGGACTCCATATGTACATCACTGTCCTTCACATTACATTTAATTACATTTTCTATCAAGTCAATGCACGAGGAATATCTGGGATGCAGCTTATGCATTATATACTGTACAAAATAAGGGATTAAATCGGCTTAAGAGCTCACAAATGTTCAGACTAATCTGATACACCCTATAGCTTTTGTCTGATGACAAGGGATGTAAAAAAACAAATAACGTCCAAGTTAAATTTGGTAAGAATTAACTAGTAGATTTTTTATGTGGCGAGACATTTTTTAACACAACTGCCTGCAGTGGGAGGCCTTTGGTGTAACTGCCAACATAGAAGGTTTTTTTCGGCGAAATAACAGGTTGCCTTTCATCGGGGCCGCGCCGGTCAACAGCTTGCAAACATTTACGGGGGTGACGTCGCAGGACAGCGTGGGGCTGCAGCTCAAAGGCACAACAGGCAGAGGGCTGGTGGAGGGAACTGCCAACAGTTTTGCATTTGTTCTGAAGTTATGGGAGCTTTGGAAAGCCCATAATGATGCCTTTAGCCTGGCTGCGCTTTGTTTATTCACAGCAGGAACTTGGTGAAAATGAGCAGAAGCAGTCTTTAAAGGCTCCCGCAGAAGGACATGCACTTGCCAACGTTCATATTTCACCCATTCTTCTGGTGCTAAAACAAAGGCCATACTGTATAAGGTATATGCCATGTTCTCCACAACATAATGGATGTCTGTGTTTTGCATAGAGGAAGACATTGAACAGTCCACATAAAGCCCTCGGGCCATGTGGGTTATGCATGGAGAAGGAATGCGTCATATGCAAGCACTCAAGCACATCCTCGCATATATCTACTGACCCGCTCCCAGCACCCTAACCAACACACACACACACACACACATTTGTATGCAGACAATCTGAAGAAAATACTTTTTTATTGCTTCCCCCCGATAGCTTCAGGGACTAATTCAGAAACGGTACAATGGAATGTACAATAAAGATCACATTTACTCCAAGATGTTCAGACTCACACAAGGTTGACACTGTGCAGTCACCGCTGTTTAGCAGCTGATGCAAATTGAGGCTGACAATTCCCAGCAGAGAATTTAGCCTGATTATTCCAGTTTGACCTTTGGGTTCAATTTGTTCAGTCATGCAAAACCAGTCACAGATGACAATTAATCATGGAGATATGAACTTTGTGTAAATTCATCCTGTGTGTGTAGTGCTTTGTTTGAACTCACAGTGGTGATCAGAGCACCTCCTGAATGTAGGCTAAATCAAAGAAGACTTGTGGTAGTTAAGGGACATTTATTTGCAGCCTTTATTTGCAGAAACTGAATATAAATTGTTTTATTGATGCTTTTATAATCATATTAGAGAATGACTTGCTGTGTCGATGAATTCATGAGGTAATAATTGTATTTATCGTAGAAGTTGGTCTTCGCTATTGACATAAGTTTCCCACTGCAGCTTCATTTGATCATTATCTGCTTGTAATAGTAACTATAAACACCCTTTTGCCAATTATTATGACAATATTATGTTTATTTGTTGCCTGTCTGTTCATTATCACCAGAGAACTATGTAATATGTTCCCTTATTGTAATGACTGCACAGCAAGACATTTGGTCACAGAAACACCATGGAACATATAGTATGTGTCTGGTCGTGTTCTAGAGGAACAGTTGGTCTTTTTAATGTAGAAACAGTTCCATTGTCACTGCTGTAATAAGAGATAGTCAGTAGTTTTTTGTGTGAGTCTAATGTAGAAACAGTTCCATTGTCACTGCATATGTATGTCTGTAATAAGAGATAGTCAGCAGTTTTTTGTGTGAGTCACATCAGCCAATGGCACCAAACTGGGTTTTATGAGTTTGCAAATCATTATTGTAACTTCTACAGTTACCAGGATAAATGAAGGGGAAGCACCGACAACCACCACCTGTAAATTCCCCACCAGATGTTTCCACACCCTACAAACACACCACTTTTTAAAGTCACAGTAACACAAGAAAATGTGAAATTAGAATTAATTATCTACAACCAAACTGAATAAGGTGTACAAAAACAAACGTGGCTGCAAGTCACGTCACAAATTCAAAGTTTCTCTCCATCCTAGTTATTTCATGTGACAGCAACTGCGTCATCGCTACTGCCCAGGTGTGTGCAATTGTTCTGGGTCTCCGTGTCAAGGTGGTCCATGTCCAGGGTTACATCTTCAAGCCCTTTCTCTTCAGGTCATCTTTGGCTTCCTTGATTTGTTGCTGCAGCTCCAGCGCCGCGTCTTCACAGTCATTGAACGTGGCCACTCTGTATCCGACTGTGGCCAAAGAGTAGCAGCCAAACGACACCAACAGGTACAGGGGCATCGGCCAAGCCACGTCTCTGTATGTGTCCGGCAGACTCAGGTCCAACAGGTCCCAGGTAACCAGAGCCCAGACTGCGACCAGCAGCGACACACCGAGCAACCACTGCAGGAGTTTAGTCATGACGAGGGACGACGCTGGAAATGTGAGGTTAGCAGCCTGTAAACGACAAAACAACGTTACATTAATGTGGTCATTTAAGTTTTGGCGCTCGGCGTTAGCCGCTATGCTAACAGATTAATAGGAAATAATTGAGCAAATACGCAAACTAATGTGAAAGCTATATGCTGGCAACGACTCTAAATAAAATAACGTTCTTTACGTAAAGCGTTTATATTTTTAAAATGCATTTCTTAAGCAGTAATTCCTTATTACGCTGTATTTACCTCCTCTCAATAGCCACCTCAGCTTAGCGCAGGCTAATGACGAGCTCCACCGTGCTGCATCATGGGAAACGTAGTTGACAACGAAAAGGGGAATAACGGGTGAGTTTTGTTCCATATCCTCATTGTTAAAGAACAGTATGTAATAATACACGACACAATAATATATAAACAAAGTTATTATGTTGCAACACGTTTTACAGTTGATGATGTGCTAATTAGGATTCTTTTAATATTTTTAATTACATTTTATTTGTAGTAATTTTTATAATGTAATATTAATTCACATATCTGTTACATCCCTGATTTTTTTACCTGTGTTTTCTTCAATAATGAGTAGTAATGAGGACTGAACAGATGGTCTGTTGATACAAAGTTGATGTGTGATGTTAACGTGTGTGTGTTTCTACAAACATATTTCACTAGTTTATAAAAATGACCTCTAAGAGACCTTACGTTTGTGTTACACCCCTGACCATCCCTCTGTCATCCTCTTAATTTTTGGAAAAATACTTTTGAAAAATTGATAACCACTTGTCTAAGCTGGTGGCTATTTATAAATACTAAAGCTGTTCTAAAGCAAGGCATCCAATAACATTAGGAGCCCCCGGGAACTAACAGTTGTTGGCACTCTATGCCTCCTGAGGTGCTACGGCGCTTGACCTTCCATTCAGGATAGTGGTCTTCCAGGAGCAGAGAGCGGAGATTTCTCCAGGGTGACATGATGAGGGATGGGACGTATGAACATCATAACCTTAACTGGGGGAGAGAGGCTCCTCAAAGAGCAGCTGAAAAATAAGTATGAGTCTTTTGGGAAAAGTTGATGGTTATTCTTAGTGCAGTAGTATTTATGTCTGTCTGCAGCAGTGTTAATGGTGTAAGAGGTGATCTCTGTGCAGGCTACAGGGTGGCAAAGCAATTCTCTCATGTTCAAGCAAGCTGAAAACTAATAGGAGAGTTTATTGTTACTAGAAAGTGCAAATCTTCAAATCTGGAAATCAGCAATTATCTTTACAAGTCTGCAGTACATCTGAGGTTGACTCATCCAGGGAATCACATTGTGATTCATCCTTTGGGGAAATGGAATTTGACGCTCTGAACATAGAGCTAGGGTGCGGGGAGTTCCGAGTAATTAGTTTCTCTTGTAATATATTTGTCACAGGTATTTACCACAGCCCATGTTCAACATTCCAAACATCACATGTTTTCACAGCTATATATAATACCTAAGATTTTTTTGTAATGTTGACCATTATATGAGACATAAATTGGTATTTCTACAGTCTGATAAATCCCTTGTCAGAACAAGGGTCGACTAAAGGAGAAATGCGGCCATTTTTAACTCATCACACTGTTGGTAAGGTCATCAAGTGCTGATTTGGCAAAAAAAAAGACAACAAACATTTGGCTCTACATAGGCCTCTATGTCCTACATGTCCTAGGTTTTTTTTAGAAGTACAGCTCTTCTATTATAATCCCAATAATACAGGTTGCCCTACAGCCTCTGTATACACTATATATGTGTAGCCATGAAAAAAAAATAAATTCATGTGCTACACAACATAACCCTATTCCTAAGATGTTCCCTCTAAATAATTTAGTCATTGTGAAAGAGCAGCTTGTAGTATTTGTATCGATAACTTTTACATATTTTTACCAGCTTTTACAGTTGACTTTGCTGTGTTGGTGTTTACTTGTCCACACTGTCTTAATGGTGCAAGACTTAAAAGCTACTACACATCTGCTCGTGTTTCCATTGCTTTATCAAGCTGTGACAGGTTTGGATTGGGTTGTGTCTGCATCTGGTTTATGTTGCAGTGCAGTTGTAATGACATTTTGAGTGCAGTCTAACAGTTTGCCTTCATTCCATTTTGCCTAGGGTTCACCTAAAAGTTTCGGACAAGCAAAACTTTTTGTCAATGTCAGACAAAACCCATCATTTATCATCTGCTGACAGTCACTGGTCCCCTCCAACGGCCGTACTGTGAGTTGAGATTTCTCATTTTTCTCCTCTATTTTATGCCTCGCTATAATCCTGTATAAATCTTATGTTTATATACGCCGCGTCTGTAAAGGGAAAAAAGTATATTTCAGTCGTGGGGTTGCTGTGAAATGAAAAATTATAAAATGGAATCATAATCTGTCTTTTTGACAGCAGACACTGAGGTTTGTCCCTGTTGAAATGGTCCAGGTGTTTCTGTCTTGTAGTGCTGTTAAATCAGTTCATTATTTACACCTGTATGCCCCCCCCCACCCCCCTTCCCCGTCTGACATGTGAAAATGTCATCTGTGAGAAAGACCCTCGCTTTTAGCATTTCATCTCATTCCAATGCACACTTAATAGGAAGTGGAATGCTACATATCAAAGCAGCCAAGGTCAGGCTATTCCATTTTAGGAAGAAGTGAGTCCTGGTGGGAGAACGCAGACTGCATCATTACCTACATCATAGCGTGAGCTGAGTCCTGCCTGTGTTTTATTGGTGTGAGCAGCAATGTGAGTGAGAGTGTGTGAAACTCAGTGGGAACACTCTAGATGGCCATTCTCACTATATCTCCCTGCCAGCATCTGTTCCGTTCCGGTACTCAGGAAACCTGTGCTCCTGCCTACAGGGCCTGGCAGACACAACACAACAGGCTGTGAGCAGGAGGGGCAGCACTGAGACAGAGAGGGAGAAAAAGGTGAAAAAAGAAACGGAAAGACAAAAAAAGGAGAGAAAAGCCAAGCGGCTCGGACATAGAGGTTGAGAAAGAGAAGGAATTAAGCGGTGGGAGCGGGAAGAAATAGTTGGGGGGGGTCATATTTTACAGGTCTAGAAAAAGAACGAAAGCTAAGAAGACCAGGAATGAAAAGAAGGGTTGAGTGAGTTTATGTTTGAAGGAGAAAATGGCAACAGAGGAAAAGCAGAGAAGGATGGATGAGATGAAGGGAGCAGATGGGGGAGAGAGGCAGGGAGAGATTTAGACAAGGCTGTGTGGTGGGGGGTATGAAATCTCAGGGATTTGCAGGTGCAGCTTGAAAAACTAGTGACCTTAATGGTGTGTTAAATCCAGCTGTTGCTTACCCAGACTTTTCTTCAATCCCCTTTGCACTTTCAACTGTGCGATACACTAAAGCACGCAGAAA